ATTAGAAATTTTCAACCACTTTCTTTGAATTATTCTAATTATATAGATCTTTGTGTTGCCATTATATAATTTTATATTTATAAAAACACTTTATGAGCAGTTAAAGAAACATGAAACTACAAATCTCAATAAGGTTTCACAATGCCTGCAGTTAGAGCATTCGATATAAATAAAAAATACAAATCCAAATACGAATATAATCGTCGGCTGAGGGGTTATACACAAAAAATGGCAGCAACCGCATAGACAGTGACTGGCAGACGATTTGTATTGCCTTTAAGCCTAAAAGCATGCTTCATATGTTATGGCAAACGTTTAATTATTTATTTGAAAGGAAGACGACGACAGCGCATGGCGACGCAGCAAGCAGTACAAAAGGCAAAAGGAATACAACAAAAATGAAAGCCAAACGAATCAGTAGAAAGCAACAAAATTGCAAAAATGCAGCATTTTTATTGACAGAACATCGGAAGCGGAGCAGGACGAGCAAGAGAGGGAGATGGAAGAGAGATTGATTGAGAGAGAGAGAGAGAGAGAGAGAGAGGGAACGGCAGTGAGTGTTGTCTCTGGCATTGCCAGCAGCCATTGAGGTTAATTAGTTGACATTTGCGCTTAATTGCAATCTGCGTCGGGGCATAGAGCGCCAGCGAGGCGTTAAGATTCTCATTCATGATTGATGAGTCAATTGGCTGATGCTGCTGCTCCTGCTGCTGCTGCTGCGCCTGTTGACAGACCATTCAAGCATAGCGCCAAACTTGACACCCACTCGACGGCAAGTAGCTGGAGTGGATTGACAGCCAGAAGGACTTGCAATGAGTGCATGGAATGCTAGCATAATCATCCACATAGTTCAATATGGAAGCAGGCAATACTTCAAGGCTTCACTTGACTTAATCAATCGAAGACGATTGAAAAATTGGCTGATGCATCAGACTGTGTGTATAATGGGAATAGTTCTGAGTTCCTTTACATACTCTTTATTATAAATATTCACAAATAAGTTCAATTTCTTAAATAAAATTCTCTCCTCTGCTTGAGTCCATTTATATCTGCTTCAAGCAGTAAGCCACCTCTGGGGTCTGGGCTCGGATCCACTTGATGAATGAGGCAATGCGCGTGTTCACCGATGGCTGCAGCGTGGCGCAGGCGTAGCCGTAGCTCACAATGCCAACGGCCATGAGGCGGCCGTTGCTGCGCTCGTACAGCGCTCCGCCGGAGTCGTATTGGCACGTGTCCCGGCCGGGGCTGTAGGTGCAGAAGCTGTGCGCCGGCACAGAGCCCTGGCTAAGCGAGTTGCGGCACTGCTCGGCGCTGATCACGTCCAGCGTCGTCTTCAGCAGTCGGTGCGTCTGTGGACCGCCGTACGATGTGGTGCCCCAGCCGGCAGCCACCAGCTGCTGCCCCACCAGCGGCAGCTTTTTGCCATTCGCAGCGGGCTGCAGGGGCAGGCAGGCCGGGCCCACGCTGCGATTGAAGAGGATGGGCGTGCGGGTGCGCAGGAGGGCGATATCGTTCCTCATCTGACCATTCGCTTGGCTGAACTGCTCGTGTGGTATCAGTGCATCCAGATCGTAGAAGCGTGTGTAAAACGTCTCGTAGACACTCGACAGATCGTGCTCGCCCACCACTACGCGCAGCTGGGAGGCGTGGCTCGTCTCGGGACTGAGGAAACAGTGGGCAGCCGAGAGCAAATAATGATGATGAACTAGGAGAGGAGGAAGTAAAGAGAAGAAAAATAGAGATGCTGTGATTCGGTATATCAATTAAAATATTTAAAATTACTAATGGAAATAATTTGAATTCAAATTAATTACAAGCATGTTAATAAAAAGCTTTTGATTTTCATATATATATTATTTTATTATTTTAAATTTTGCTAAGAGGAATACTGGCGAGTTTTAAGTATGTGTTTAATAATATTATTGTTATTTGAATTATTTTTAATTTAAGAGAAATACTCAGGTTATTTTTTATTCTTTTAATTCTTTTTATTTATTTATTTTCTTATTTTTTATTATTACTATCATTCTAATTTTCATTTTAAGAGAAATACTTACGGTTTTTATTTTATTTTTTATTCTTTTTATTTATTTATTTCATTTTATATTTACTTATTTTCGAGTAATATTATTATTTTTAATTTAAGAGAAATGGTTACATTCTTTACCTATTATTATTTCTTTATTTAATTTTTTATTTACATATTTTTTACTT